ATTTAAGTCTTCATAAACTCCACACAAGGGAGAAAATGACCTTTGAAGAACCTTTTTTTGGTAACTTTATTTTTTATTTTTAAAAGGCCATTTTTTTGTAGCTATCTTGGTTGATGTGTATTGGATGTACTTTTGTTATCTTAAACATCAACTCCAAGCTCATGGACTTTCCTTATATAGCTTTCCCCTCTCCATAATTTGGCACAAGAATGCTTTTTAGTGCTGAATGTTTTCTTTTTCTGCTGGTCTCTTCTCACAGCAGAACTGGCCTTTCACCTGGTTTTGTATCTTATTTTAGAAATGGCCTTGTTCTCAGGTCTTATTTTAAATGTTGGTTGGTCCAAGCCTTACTGCAAATGGCTTTCATGTCTGTGAAAGACAGAAAAAAACCATCAGCAAAAATTGAAATAAGAGGGATTTCACACGGACCTAGAAAAAAAATTCTTACAAAGATACTAGAAATTAATGCGAATCTGTGCCCATCTTTTACTCATGGAAGAACTTGAAGGCCAGAAAGGCTACGTGACTTGCTTAAGGCTACAAAACATTGATGAAAATTTATCATTCTCATAACTTACATGAAGGGAAATTATAGAGAGCTACAACTTTAAAAACCAAATAAACTATTCGTAAGAAAGGGAAATATGCCAAACTATTGTACTTACCCTGATTATCTCTGAAGAGTGGGGGGATGGGGTGGGTGTGTTACAAAGTTTTCTTTCTAATATTCTGGGTTTGCCAGTGTTCAGTTATGAATGTCATTATTTTAATATAATTAAGGCTATGACCATTAGAGTCAGATCAGGATTTGAATCTGGCCTTACCACTTACTAGGCTATGATTCACTGAATTTTGGGAAAGCTTCTTAACCTCTCTGAACTTCAAAGAGAAGTAACAATACTTAACTTGATTGAGTTAACTCTAAGGTTCCTACATCTGATATCTGGCCTACAAGGAGCACTTACTTGGCAGCCACTGTCATTGCTATTACTGCTATCACTGCTTTTATAATAGAACACAGGGCCCTAACATAGGTGATCATTACTGAATGAGTTCAACATTCATCTCCTAGAATACTAGATGCTGAGTTAGGCAATTTTTCAACATACCTTCTAGCTCTTTTTTTATTTAGATTTTTTTTTTAATTGGGGAATTGGGGGAGGGCAACAGACAAGTTGCTGTCCTTTTGTTCTTCAGTCTAGTTGTGGAGGTCGTCACTTCACTGGCCTATGTTGGTATTATCATTGCACTCTTCCCAGGTGAAGCAGATTGGTCTCCGGCCTCTGGACGGCCGCTCACGACGGCTCTTGGCAGCTCACGCCGGCTGCTGGCTGCTCACGCTGGTTGCCAACCACACACGGTAGCCCATGCAGCCCACTGTAGCAGGGGCTGCAGCCTACACCATCGCTGGCGACTCACAGCAGCCCAGCTCCAAGTCGAGCTATTGTTCAGCATCTTAGCTGTAGAGGGCAGTGTCACTGGCTCTCATGTGGGATCCGAACCGGGGCCCTGCTGCTCAGAGCTGGCGTCCTGAGCCAGCTCTTTAACCAACATGCCACTTGGCTGGCCCCCAGCTCATTTTGTCTTTGTTAATTCAGAGGAAGATAGCACTGTGGCCATCAGTGTTCACCTACCCTAGTAGAATAATACTTAACTCTTAGGTACCTCCGTCAGAGCCTGATCCTTACCATAATTAAAATAAAAATCCCTGATCTTCTTCTGTATTTTATACTAGAAAGATTAACCTGCATTGCTACGGAAAGTCATTAACCCTTATTAAATAAAACATCCCTATTGCTACTCATCTTGGAGTGACCTACACAGAATCACTATATGAGAAGCACATGCCCTTGTGACTTGAATGTGTAGTTCTTTTTATAAACCCCTGTTTTCTCTGTGCCTGGTACTTTAATACAAATGACATGTCTCTTTTGAGCAGCAATCCCATTGGCCTTCCTTATATTTCAGGAAGATGATTGCTCATTTCTTATAAATCTCCCTCAGAGCCCCCAAAGTAAATTTTACCTAAGCCGTCTCATTTCTATGTATGCCCTGGAAAATCCCAACAAAATATCCTTTATTGTTAGTGAACATCTGTATATACAATTTCTTGTAATGCAGCACCAGAAAGAAATGTCATTTTATATATTTAGATATGCATGCTATTGTCCATCTACCTAGAAATTGTATAGTCACAGATTGGAAACTAAGGCCTTGTAATATTTGACTGTATTGTTTGGGGCAGACCTAGATTGTTTGACCCATTATAGGTACTGAGTAGCCGCCACAGTAAACTATGTTTGAGTATTTTTATGTACATTATTTTTAATGTTACTGGTTGTGAGGATGTTGTGCTTTTCTTTCCACTTTACAACTGAGGAAGTCTGTCATCGTCATTAGTACTCGTTCATTCAGCAGGAGCACCTGTTTTAACTTAGGCACCGGAGGTGTAAATATGAATAAAACATGATTCCTGCTCTGGAAAATTTCATAGTTTATTAGAGAAGAAAGATACTGAAATGCATAAATACACTTCAAAGTGATACATTCTATATAATAAATATATGAACAAAGGATTATAGTCACATAAAGGAGGGAACCATAAATTGGGAATGTATGCTAAGGTTACAAAGAGAAAGACTTCAGCCAAGTCTTGAAGGATAGATGGGACTTTGTTATTTGGAGAGAGAGGAGCAAGGGATGGGCCTTACAGAGCAGGGAAGGGCCTATGCAAAGGCTTAAGGCAGGTGGGGGCCTGTGTAAGGAGAAGAGGCCTTGTGAAGGAAAACCCCGTCAAAGTTTGGCGTTTGAATTTTATCCTTTGAACAGTGGGGAATCAATAAAGATTTTAAAATTGCAGCTGATATAATAAGATTTGAGTTTGAAAATACCGTATTTCCCCATGTATAAGATGCACCCTTTTTCGAAAAATTTGAGGTCTAAAAACTGGGTGCGTCTTATACAGTGGTTGTAGATTTTTTTTACTTGCATTTCATGCTTTTTTCGCACTTGTTTTTGTGCTCATACAACCACTGTATAAGATGCACCCAGTTTTTAGACCCCAAATTTTTCGAAAAAGGGTGTGTCTTATACATGGGGAAATGCGGTATGTAGTATTTGAGGGTGGACACCAGTTAAAAAGCTGTTGTAGGGGGCCAACCGAGTGGCTCAGTTGTTAAAGGTTAAAGGTTTTCCTAAGAGCACAAGCTCTGAGCAACAGGGTCGCTGATTCAATTCCCACATGGGCCAGTGAGCTGCGCCCGAGCTGCACCTGAGCTGAGCTGGCACTGAGCTGCCAAAAGGTGGCAGGATGGCTTAGCTGGTGAGAGCATGTGCTCCTAATGACTAGATTGCCTGTTTGATGGTGGGCTACGCCTGCCCGCAACTAAGACTGAACTTGGCACCTTGTCTTGAGCTGAGCTGCCGCACAGATGGCTCAATGGATAGAGTGTGCGCTCTTAACAGCAAGGTTGCTGGTTCGACTCCCACATGAAAAAAAAAAGCTGTTGTAGTTTTCCAAGCAAGAGGCAGGCATTAGGCTTAGTACCTGTGGAGATAAGAAAAGCCTCTAGCTTTGAGAGAACTTTCCTAGGTGTAAACAATGTGGCTTTGTGCTCAATATGATACAGGAAATGTGCTGGGGGCAGGGGGAGGGAATCTGGTTTGGGTGACTAGGTGGCTCCACTGAGGTGAGCAGAGCTGTAGAGGAGAAGCAAGATTGTTCATTATTTTTGGTTTTTGTTTTTGGGGAGCAGGGCAAGAGTTTTCATTTTGTACAAGGCAGGTTCATTGTTTTCAGGAGCATCCTCGTAAGCAAGCCGGCATCTGAATCTTGGGAGAGAGGTTACCATAGTAATACTTGAGTTATTGCTGTTTATTTTTCCATTAGAAACTAAGGTTCTCAGAGGTTAACTGATTGTGGTCTCAGGAAAGTGGCTGTAGAACCAAAACATAAATTCCTAAGCTTCTTACCAAGTAGGCTTTAATTGAAACGGCCTTTGGAGAAAAAAAATTAATCTTTTGTGTCTACTATAATTGTTTTACGGTTGCATTTCCCAGAGTATCTTTACTTAAAAAACATCTTTTAAAACCCAGCTGGTATGTATAGCCATCACAATCCATCTATTTTCTGCACCATGTTTTCTGATGTTAATGTTATTTGACTGATGACAGACAGATGAAGAGTGCTAAGGATGACAGCTAAGCAGCTCCAAACCTCCTCTTTTGTTCTAACAAAACCTTAAAATTCCAAGATTAGATAGTCCTCAAGAAACATGTTTGATCTAACCTCAGTTTGTTGTCCTGCTTCCATGTGAGAGAAGATGTAGTGTCCACTTCTGCAGGAATTTAAAAATAAATTGTTTTCCCATTTGGGTTGTTGAGCTGTAGTCCTTTCTGAAACCAGAGAATAAAGTAGACAATTCTTCAAAATCCGCTCCAACCCCCAAATTTCAGGGTTCTCTCAGCATTAATTGAAACACTTGGGTGGTTGTGAAGGACTTGGGGAGCCTTTGAACAAGGCAAAGCACTATACATATCTGACACTCTTTTTTCACTTACTTAAAAAATAATTAGCACACCTTATCTGCATGAGATTCTAGTTTTAACTGTTACGATCTCAGTTCTCTGTGTGGCTTTTTGGGCTGTGGCATTTTTCCTTTACTTTGTTCTTGATTGCTGTGAAATGTATTGCCTGCTGTTTAAGGCAGCTGCAGTAGAGTGCACCCAGAAGTGGTTATAATTCTATATTTAGTAAGCCATAGGGTTGGTAAAGCAGTTGCAAATTCCTTCAAGATAAAATAGTTTCTATAAATGTAACATTTTTAATGAAACTATTATTATCACCCATTAGAGAAATACATCAGCTAATATGTGCGGATTTGTGCACAAGATAGAGGCACAAAACTTTTTTTTTTTTCATTAAGAGCTGGCTGAGTATTTTAAATACTTAAAGTTAATCACATGAATCCTATTTTTATACTCTTAATTTCCAATTGCAGAGCTTTTACTCAAGTGTTTACTTTTGGTCCAACATTTCGGGCAGAGAATTCTCAGAGTCGGAGACACCTGGCAGAGTTTTACATGGTAGAAGCAGAGATTTCTTTTGTTGAGAGCCTTCAAGATCTCATGCAGGTAGGTATGCAAGTTTTAAAATAATTTCTAAAGGTCAGGCATCTGTGACATTAAAATGCTTCTGCATACATTTTTACCTGAGACATCTGTTCATTACAGGTGTTCATAGAATGAAGAACATGGAGAACTACTTAATTTAATAAACATCTACTGAATGCCTTTAGTGTTATAGTTTACTTAGAGTCAGACAGATTTAAGTTCATCCCAGGTCTGCCATTAATTTTGTTAGGATGTTACCTTGATGATCTTGAGCTTCCTCAAGTGTAAAATGAGGATAATAGTGCTATTTCATAAGGTTATTGTGAGGAGTAAATGAAATTATATATACAATGTAAAGCACCTAGTATGGGGTCTACACATAGGAGGCTCAGTAAATAGTAGCTCCTGTGATTCACTAGGCAAATAAATAAAGTATCTGTATGATTAGAGAAATATCTATATAGTTATATTAGAAGGCATCCACAGGAGCTGTCAGAGCTTTGTTTGGGGGTCAAGGGATATGGCCAGAGATGCAGTCCAGTCAGATCATGAAGGAAAGACTTTGTATTTAAATGCCATGCTTAGGAGTTTGAATTTAATCCAAAAGGTAAGGGAGAAAGAGTTCTCAGTGGAAAAGGCCATGGTTAGAGTTATATTTTAGAAAAATCTCTAGCAGCAATATGAAGAATGATTTAGAGGGAGATAAAAAAAATATGGGCGGGACCTCTTTTAGGAGGCTGTGGACATATTCTAGAAAGAGCACGTGGGCTCCAGAGTCGTATGCAACAAGATTTGAGTCTTAGCTCTAACATTTACTTGCTGTGTGACCTTAGACAAGGGATTTAATTTCTCTGAGCCTCAGTTTTCTCATCTGTAAAATGGGAATAATAATTCCTGCATCATTCCTGACAGATAATATATGTGTACATAAGGCACTTAGCATAGTTCATGGCACTTAGTAAGTACACTGAAATTGTTAATTTTTGTTACTATGAATTCTCTATCCAGTACCGTTTTGGTTAATATCTTAGTCTGGATTTGTAATTACAAGATGGTTATGTTAGCAATTTTCATCAACCCTCACTTTTATTCATTTATATAATATGTCTTTCTAGTCTTATTTACCCAGTAAATGACCTAATTCCACTTAAAACATAAATACCACCTATACCTCCAAATAGAATGGGCTCATTATTTTATTATCCTGTCTTAGGTTGGATTTCCTAGTAAACAAATTCTGAAGGAGAGATTTGCATGCATGGGATTATTGGGGAATGCTTGAGAACAGCACTTGTGAGGAAATTAAGGAAGCAGCACAGGGCAGAGGGAAAAGTCGAACTGTGATGCATTTACAAACGGAGGTCTTATTCAATCCTGTGAGGAATTTTGGAGCTAGAATGATCCATAGTTGTCCCATGTGAAGGCAAAGGAGTAGGACTCTGTGCCTCACCACCCTCCATCAGCCAGTCATCGGACGTGGGCCAGCCTTGGGAAGAGCTGTAACCTTGGGTAAGACAGCACTTTTGTCTGGACAGCTCCTGAAGAGGGACTCAGCTATGAACCATCAGCAGTTACTATTCCCAGGGGTTAAAACTCTTGGTCCTGAAGGGGTGTTCTGTCCACACACCACAGTTTCCGCTTCCATACCCCTTTAACATCTCCCACAGATTGTTCCAGATCAGTGTCCCCTTGGAGACATTTTCGGTTGTCCCTAATAAGTAGTGAGCAGGGAAGAGCGGGGCAGAGTGGTTGCTAATGGCATCTAGTGGGTAAAGGCTAGGGGTGCTTTTCAACATCCTATAATGCCCAGTCCCCTACCCCCAACAAAGAATTATATGCTAAAAATGTCAATAGTAGCACAGTTGAGTAACCCTTTTCTAGATTGTAGGGATTCAGGATCTGAGCCTTACATGGAGTCAGTGAAATGCCTTAAGTAGCTTTCACTTTGAGCCTACCATCCAATTCTGTATTATTCTTTCAGGCCAAGAGGGTATTGTAAGGAACAGAACCACACTTTTTACTCCCGTTTCTGCTTTGACCCTGTCTCAACTGACCCAATGTAGATACCAAAAGGAAAGGTTAAAAAGACAATACAGGGCCGGCCAAGTGGCTCAGTTGGTTAAGAGCTTGCTCAAGAGTGTGAGCTCTGAGCAACAGCAGTTCGATTCCCGGCCTGAGCTGAGCAGCCACTGAGCTGCCAACAGGTGGCAGAATAGCTCAGCTTAAAAAGAAAAAAAAAAAAGACAATACATAAGTTATGTTAGAATTTATCAAACATTATAATCTTTACTCTATAATTATATATTCTATAACTAAATAATTCTTATGTAGTTGGTCCTCTACTGAGTGGTACTCAGGGCGTACACTGTTGGATGATTTAATTAATTGAAATACAAACTTTTCTCCTAAAGATAAAAAAAGAAAAACCTGCTCCCCCAAAAGTAATCTCCTGCTTCTCTTCAATTTTCTCCCTTTTATATATTACATTCTATGAAAATTATTATCTTGATGAGGAGAGGTCTGTTAAATATTAAATCAAAACATTATAGCAAGGAGTCCAGCTCTCAAATCCATGGGGGGAAGGTAAGATGGACTTGGGAGTGGGGCGGCGAGGTCATCGGACTACGAGAGCAGGGACTCCTGCACACCTGCCAGGGGGCTGCAGTCGTTTTTATGCATAAGAACAGCAAAGAATTCCCACACACACAAAAATATTATAGCAAAGTGTTTTTCCCCTCATGACGTATATTAATTAAATATGACAATTTTAGTGCCATTGAGTAATATATTTTTAAAAACATCTGAGGGTTATGCTAACCTTACAGTTAAGTTTCTTTTTTTCTTCAGATGTATGTATAGAGAGAGCGTAGTCTGAAAGTCAAGGTTAGAGAAGCCAATGATTTACTTCTTCAAATGAAAATTTACTGCTCATGAAAGACACCGATTTAACAGCTCCAGTGGTCAAAGTCTTCATCTTACAGATAGGTGTATTGTGTTCCTCAACAGTGCACACGTGCTGTCCAATCCACCTGTTCTTTTTCCCTCCCAATATGCATCGGCTTTCTTTTTAGTGATTGAGGTTATGGCCTTTCATAAATCATTCAGTTACTTAGTGATTTCTTTATCTCACTGCTAGCCGGAAGGTGACAGAGCCTCAAGGTAAAAGGTGCTTAGCCTGCTTTTGCTCTTCTATCATCAAGTTATTCCTTACTCCTGTATGATATATGTGTACTATATACATACATACACACATGCGTGTATATACATAAATGTAAAATATAGGTAAATATAAAAATATAATATATATCAATATATCTGGTTATCACTTGGTGATTAAGTACTTTCTTATGTCTGATCAAATTAAATTATTTTAGTAGACGCTTATGGCCCCACTGAGTTTGCAGTCTTAATAGGGTACACCAGTGAGGTAAAAGAGGGAAGGAAGACACCTACCTCTGAGGTGTCTGTACTTAATAAATGTGTGTATCTTTATAGTACAGCATTTGGAGGACCTAACATGGCCTCACAGACTTCAAACCAAACATTTTAGTTTTGATTAAAAATATTTTAGAAATATTTTTCATTCCAATCACCTTTTTCTTCTACAAACAAGTTTTTCCCCTGAGGCTTCTATGGACACTCTTGGTAAAATGAATTCTTATGTACTGATTTGTGTTGTACAGTGATTAGTGTTATTTTTAGTTTATAGTTAGCAAGCAAAAATGTTTATATTTAAATGTAGTTATATTTCATTACTTCTCTAATTTTAAAGTTTACTTTCATTTACCAATGGCTGAATAAAGCACTTTCCTCAGGGTCTCACTCTTCACAACCAACATTTGTTGTGTGCTTCTGTGAGCTGGGTACTAAGCTATGTCTTCTACATGGATTATCTCATTTAATTCTCACAACAATCCTGTAAGCTAGGTACTTTTATTGTTGTGATTCTGTAAGTGAGTATATTGAAATTTAGAGAGGCATAAATCAATTTTAGCTGTGTATTTGATATCTCGCTTCAATACCAATATTTAAACTGTTAACAAAAGATTCAAACATTTTGCTTTCTCTTTTTACCCCCTCTGAGAAGAAGATGCAATACCTCCTCTAATCAATCTGGAAAACTGAACTAACTTGCTATAGGACATTCAGAAATTAAGAGGCCTGTGGATTGATAGTTACTGAAACCTGGAGAATAGTCCTTACAAGACCCTAAACAGGTTTTTCATATAAAGTAGCTTATTTGTCAGGCAATTCTATGTCATTTCCCGTAGGTTATGGAGAGGCTCTTCAAGTCCGCAACAACGGTGGTTCTCTCAAATTGTCCTGAAGATGTTGAACTTTGTCACAAATTTATAGCTCCTGGCCAGAAGGTAATTAGTTCTGTGGATAAAGCCTAATACACTATTTAAATATGTTAATTACATATAATGAATATAATTAAATTTAATAATAAATTTTCTTTTTTTCTTACCAAGGACAGATTAGAACATATGCTAAAAAAGAACTTTTTAATGTAAGTAGATATTATCTTTCTCTGAACTTTATTCGTGCTTTATCATCATGTTTATCACACTGTATTAAATTTTCTTTGTTTATATGTCTGCTTATTACACTCCTTAGACTCAAGGAAGGCCTATGTTTTAATTATTTTTATAGTTCTTATGTCTGGTTCATAGTTGATAATCAATGTTTCATGAATAAATAAATGAATAAATCATAGCAAGATAAATGAACAGCAGTTATTAACTGTGTTAATTCAATTCAAGTAATACTAACTTTAGTAATCAAAATTTAGCTTGATTGAAAAAACTTAAAATTCATACATTTAATGCCTGCCTGTCAGATTTTCTGTTTCAGTCTTCTTTTTCTTCTTTGCCTTCACTTGCTAAAATCTGATAATATATTCTAAACTGTTTTGGGGTTTTTTGCCACTTTTATTAAACCTAAAGGTCTGTGTTTTAAGCATAACATATATATTATTGCTTCATTTCCACTATAATTCTGTTCAAGTGGTACTTGATATTGGACTAGTTGTTTATTCCACCAACAAATTAATCGGATAGGCATGTAAGACTTAGTATTCAGTATATGTGCAGTGTGTATAGGAAGTAAGTTTGATACTCAGAAGAGTAGAAAATTGCTTCTAAAAATAAGTTATCATTCTTCACTTGTAATCTTTAGGTTTAGGAAGATTTTGTTCTAATAAAGAATTCAACCTGTCCTTGAGGTGTGGAAAAGAAAAATTTGGCAGATCGAATGAGCTGAGAATTTTGGGTGTCAGCCCAGACCTTCAGGCTGCAAGTTAAAAGTGATGCCTCGTTGAGCCTAAATGAATGGCAAAGCAGCAGAGGTGGGACCAGAAGGAAATGGTCAGAGGTCCTGTGATAGAGAAGAATCAAAAGGCAGTGAAGTACAAGTGAAGGCTCTTGAGGGTTTTTTCTTTCACTTAAATGTATATCGAAAACTTACTATGTGCCAGATATTTTTCTAGAATCTAAAAACTATCTTAAAGCAGTGAACAAAGCAGATAAAATTCCCTGCCTTCATTGAGTTTACATTTCTGGCGGAGGTAACAGTAGTAGACAAGAAGCTAAGTAAGCAAGTAAAACATGTAGTCTGTGAGCATGACTAATACTAAGGGGTAAAAACAACGCAGAGAAGAGAAAGTAGATAAGACAAAAGAAGAGTGGGGAAGTAGAAATTTTAGGTAGTATGGCAGGGGAGGTCTCACTGAGATGAATTTTGAGTGAAGACCTAAAGAAAGCAAAAGAACTAGTTATACGGCTACGGGGGGAAAGAATATTCCAGGAAGAGGGGATAGCAAGTACAGGGGCCGTCAGGTTGGATCTTGTGTGTTCAAGTAATAGTGAGGAGTGAATAAAGGAAGATGCTAATAGAAGATAAAGTAAGAAAGAAGGAGGGAGGTGAGATCATTTGGTGTCTTGTATGTCACCATGAGGTTGGGTTTTCACTTGGGTGAGGTGGGGAAGCCATTGAAGGGTTCTCAGCAGAGGGCTGGCAAGATCCTAACAGGATCACTCTTGCTGCTGGTGAGAATAAGCTGTAGTAGGACAAGAGTGAGGGCAGAAAACCAGTCATCTGGGTGAGAGGAAGTGGTGGTTTGGACCATGTATTTAATCAGGGTTCTCCAGAGAAACAGGACCAGCATGGTGCATGTATAGAAAGATTTACTTTAAGGAATTAGCTCACCCAGTTGTGGAGGCATAATGAGTTCCAAATCTACTGGAGTAGTCCAGCAAGCTGTGATGCAGGGAAAGCTGCAGTTCAAGTTAAAAGGCAGTCTGCTGGCAGAATTCCTTCTTGAGGGAGGCCAGTATTTGTTCTGTTAAGGCCTCCTACTGATTAGATGTGGCCACCCACATTATGGAGAGTAACCTGCTTTATTCAGTTAGAGTCCACTGATTCAACTGTTAATCTCATCCAGAAAAACACCTTTTCAGAAGCATCTTGAATAATGTTTGATTCAATATCTAGGTACTGTATGTAGCCCAGCCAAGCTGACACATAAAATTAACCATGACAGACTGGGTTAGTGGCAATGGAGGTAGAGAGAAGTTGTCCTATTCTGGATATACTGGAGGTGCCAAAAAAATGTGTACACATTTTAAGAGATGCTATCTATGTATTTACTTTTGGAAGTTGAATTGAATTACATAGCAATGTGTAGTATGACGTTCGCTCAAAAGATGGCATTAATCAAATGAATGCTAGCATCATTCATTGTATTACAGTTTTAATACAGTTTTTTTCTTTCTTGAAATGTATATACATGTTTTTGGCATCCTCTGTATTTAAAAGATAGAGCAAACAGGATTTGCTGAGAGTGAGAAAGCAAGGGGAGAAAAGTCAAGGATGACTTCAGTGCTTTTGTTTTATACAACTGTAAAAATGGAGTTGCCATTAACTGAGATTGGGAGAGCCATAAGGGTAACAGGGGGGTTGTGGGGGAGAGGGGCATGCCATCAAGACCATCATCATCAGGTATCATGTTAGGATCAAGAAGCTTTTTAGACATCTAGTCGTAGATGTTGGGTAGGCAGTTTGAGTGTACAGATCTGGAAATCACAGGAGAGTTCTGGACACAAGCATATTGATCAAAGTAGTAATTAAGTAGATACGGAAAGAAGTCATTTGGCCATCCCAAGGAATTTGTGCTGGTGACAGAAAACCAGGGAGATCTTAAGAGAATTTATGTGACTCCTATCTAATGAATTAGATCTTAGATGGGGGAAAAAAGAAAAAACATCCACCATTTATTGAATACTTACTATGTGCCAGACATTGATAAACTGTACATACATTACGGGTTCATTTTATCTTCACAACAGCTTTGTAAGTATTAGGTTGTCGGAAAAGTCATGACGCATTTTTGCAATGAAAAACAGAGAAAAAATACATCATGATTTTTCTGACAACCCAATAGTTATTGTTGCCATTTTATAGATGAAGAATCAACTCAAAGAGATTAGGCAAGTAAAAGATAAAATGGGGATTCAAACTCATATTCTTCTGATTTCAAAGCTCATACTTTCAGACACTACACTTCATGTATTTGAAAGGGCACTGGAATTAGTGCTGGAGTAGTTGTAGCTCCACCACTGTCCTTAAGACTCTTATATATCACTTAACTGTTGTGCTTTAGAGTCCATGTATGTAAAACATGGGGTTGGAAATGACCTCATGGGCTGTGCAATATCAGGCATTGCTATCACCGTCATCCATGCCACATAGCACAAATCGTAGTTGAGGTTTAAGTTTATATGTGTGATTATTTGTTTAGTGTCTATCACCTCCGTGTGGTCAGAGACTTGTGTATTTTGCTTATTATTATACTCCCGTTGCTTAGCGCAGTGCCTCTAACAGGAACTCAGTAAATATTTATTGAATAACTGAGTGAATGAAAAGTGACCTTTGAGTGACCATGAGAGTGAGGGTCTCCTTTCCACTAGGTCCTTCCCCTGAGGTTTCCTGTTAACTCATATCACTATTTAGGCACTGAGTGTAATGAACTCTGATTCAGAGGACCTGGATTCTAATCCTGGGTCTGCCACTTATTAGCTGTTAATGAATGAATTAATATTTTTCAACAAATATTTATTGACTACGTACTATGAGTTAGGCACCATGTTAGTCATTGAGGATTCATTAGTGAAAATAGGCATGGATAGGTCCTGTTACAGAATTTAAAATCTAGAGAAAAAGGTGAATCGTTAAATATTTGCATGAATAATTACAACTGCGAACCTGATTAGCAGCAAATCTTTAACCTTTCCAAACTTCAGTTTTCTCATCTATAAAGTGATAAATTGTCTGTCTTATATTGCTGAAAGGATTGAATGACCATACTGCTTAAGCAACACGTCAGACTGGATAACTTGGAAACACTGCTGCTACCAAACATATGAAAATACTAGTTAAAACGTAAAATCCTTTTTAATGCATTGTTGAGTTCACTAGAAAGTAAGAGAAGTTCCAGGAGCTAGAAATGAACAGGGAACTGAACACCAAAGGAGTGTACATACATGGCATGATGCTGAGTATTTTCAAGGAGGAGGGTGCAGGAGATGGAGGGGGGTTTGCCAGTCCTTAAACCAGAGTTTTTTGACAGCCACAGAGGACATGAGAGTAGACCTAAGCATGATGGATTAGAATTGAGCTATTCCCCAAAATACACACATACACACAAGCACGCACCCACACATACACACACACTACTCTAGGACTTGTAGTGTTTTGAATAAACAGATTTCAGTGTATACTTGACTAGTGATAATTGTTTTATATAAAATATTATTTAAAGTTTTTGTGTAGTAACTGAATTTAGCCTTTATCAAGCAGAAATAGAATTCAATTATTTTCCATTTCCTTTAGTGTATTAAAGTTTACCTTTTTATTTGCTCTTCATTTATCTGTGTGAATTTGAGGCAAAGAATGCTAATAATGATCTCTTTAGCATAGCAATTTTACTCTAACAGCTTCAGAATAATTTTCTGTAATCAACAATAAAATATTTGAAATATGAATGTAGTTTAATACTGTATCATGCAATTTCACAATGTCTTCTCCTTTCCTCAAAGCACTTTGGAAATAGTGTCTAGTAAGGAGAAGAAATATTATTCTCTATACATATCAAGAAAAATCAGTAGAGGGCCGGCCGAGTGGCACATTGGTTAAGAGCTGGCTTGGGATGCCAGAGGGCCCCGGTTCATATCCCACATATGAGGGCCAGTGACACTGCCCTCTGCAGCTAAGATGCTGAACAACAGCTCAACCTGGAGCTGGGCTGCCATGAGTCGCCGGCGATGGCGTAGGCTGCAGCTCCTGTGGCAGTGGGTTGCCATGGGCTACCGTGTGTAGCCAGCAGCCAGCATGAGCGGCCAGCAGCCGCTGTGAGTGGCTGTCAGAAGCAGGCGACTGATCTGCCTCGCCCGGGAAGAGCGCAATGATGGTGCCAACTTGGGCCAGTGAAGCAACGTCCTCCACAACTAGACTGAAGAACAAAAGGATAGCAACTTGTCTGTTCCCCTTCCCCCAATTCCCCAATAAAAATCTTAAAAAAATAAAAAAAAATAAAAATCAGTAGAGTTGATGAAAGGCAGTGTCAGAACTGTAATTTGAACTTGAAAGCTGTGCCTTAACTTAGGGTGTAGGGGGAGTAGGGAAGCAGATCCAGAATAACAAGAGATGTTTAGACGTGAGAGCCATTTTTTCTTAATGTAACAGTAACATAATCAATGGCGCAAAATCTTTGTGCTTTCCACTTTCACTGCTCTTATATTTCTCAGTATAATGAGTAGATCATATCAAGTAATGATGGAATAGAACAATAGATTGTCTAAACAGAAAAATCTTTAGACAATATAGTCCAATCTCTTTATTTTTCAAGTGCAAACACTTAATTTTTTAATGTTTATGTAGTACATTACAAAAATTTATAAAATGCTTCCATTAAGGTGAAGTGATTTACATAGCTAGTAAGTGCAAGTAGAGTCAGATGGAGAACCACAAGCCCATTATCTTCTGTTTTGATTGAACATGCGAAACTCCAGGCAGTTTAGGCATTATCTCAGCAGTTAAAAACTTAGACTGTGGAGTCAGCACATCAGGGTTTCCTACTCACATGAGTGATTTTGGCAAGTGACTGGTCCTCCATGAGCTTCCGTTTCCCTTCTGTAAAATGCTCATTGAAAAAGTAGTTCTACCACCAACACTGCCACCATTCTTGCCTTAAGAAATTACCTGTTATTTAATACTAAATTTTAATTTGAATAGAATTTTCATCTTAGAAAAAAAACCTTATCACTCAAAACATAGCTTCAGGGGCTTTATTTGTACTATAAGGCACAATTCTTTCCAGTTATTACAGATGTAAACTTCATTTTTGCTTCAGAGAATAAGTTTATGTTGGGTAAATTAGTTTCTGATCTCAAAGTTCTTCAGAAAGTTTGTAGATTTTTTTTTAAGTGATGGAAGAACAGTTTATTAGAAGAAAAAGGACACTTCAAAGAAATAGAAGCAGGTCCGAGCAGAAAGCAGTGGCTCAAGGGCCCATTATGAGAAGAGAAAGTACATTCCAAAGAGTTTGGAGCGGGCCGAGCAAAAGAAGGAGCTCAAAAGCTGGATTTTTTTTTTTTTTAAGATTTTATTGGGTACTTGGGGGAGGGGAACAGACAAGTTGCTGTCCTTTTGTTCTTCAGTCTAGTTGTGGAGGACGTCGCTTCACTGGCCCATGTTGGTATTATCATTGCGCT